CCACCACAATCATTGCCGCCATTAACACAATCACCTTCACCACCGACACATGGACATCACCATCACCATCACCATCACCATCACCATCACCATCACCATCACCATCACCATCACCATCACCATCACCATCACCATCACCATCACCATCATCATCATCATCATCATCATCATCATCATCATCATCATCATCATCATCATCATCGTCATCATTCATCGTCAGCATCATCATCATCGTCGACACCAGCATCAGGGTTGTGCCGAACAAGTTGCGGGTGGGAGGGTGGGATGCTTGCGCGAGCAGTGGATTCGTCAACCCTTCATATTGACTTGCGACACGTAGCTTGCACCACATAGATCCGCCACCGTGCAATGAGGCACGGGTTGGAGTATCCTCAGGTCGTTCCTGTCCTCAGCCCTCAGCTGCAAAACATTACATCGGCCCCGACCCCGAATTGCCAGATTCCCTGTGGTGTTCGGCGTGCCGTTGCGTTTCCCCAAGACAGGCCGGAAGGACCTCCGAGACGGTCCAAGGGGGCCCCGAGTCGGCCCAAGAGCGCTCCAAGATGCCCAAGATGGCTCGAAACGGCACCCAAGACGCCCTGGGAGGGCTCCAGGAGACCCCCGAAGAGGGCCCTCGAAGAGGCAACAAACACTGATTTTACATAGGTGTTGGGGTACATGCTGGCAAGCAGTCTTACATCACTTGAAGCATCCCCCCCGCGGTGCCTGCGCCAGATCCTCCTTATCCCTTTCCCCTGGCGCGGCCTCATCCCTCCCATCACTCTCGCCTCCTACTCCTCCCCTCCTGCCCCTCATCCTCTTCTCCCCCTCCCCCTCCTGCTCCCCACCTTCGCCTCCCTATCAAGCTTCAGCCTCCCGACTCATCCTTCCTTCGGAGCAGGGCGAGTTGAGACAGCGGCAACTCAACATCGGTCTCTGGGCCCCTCTTCTAGGACCCAGACGCACCAGGCTTCCGAGCTGCGTCCAGCCGTGGCGATAAGGGCCCGCCCGAAGGCCAACTACCGATGCCTCAACTCGCCCTCCTTTGAATTCTGCCCTCCCCTCCCTCGTTTCCCTCCTGCTCCCGCCGCTACTGTCGATCCCCCCGCTGCCGCACCCCCGCTCCACCCAGGTCGCCTTGGGTGCCTGCAGCATGGCCGCGGAGCTGCCGTGGTGCTTCGAGAGCACAGTCACCGCCGCCTTGAGCGCGGAGATGGACTCCAGCAGGTCCTTCTCCTGGGTAAGATGGAACCAGGACGAGGACAACATCGGGTGAGGGTAAAACGAATCTCCGAGATCCAGCGGCTCTGGAGGATGCATCGGGCGCCGCGGCCTTCTCAGAGCGTTCCGGAACGCTCTGAGAGCATTCAGGAACTCTCTGGAACGGATTTGTCCTCGTCCTGGCCCAGTTCGATGTGGGGCGGGCGGAAACGGGCGGGCTCCTTGAAAGCGCGCGTCTGACCAGAGCATCTAGTAGAACCATCTTGAAATGCATCGTTTCCAGAGCGGCACGGTCAGAAAGCGCCCGCCACGAAGCTGATAAAAATGAGACTCCCCGGCGCGGGCGTCGCCCCAGGGGGGGCGACGCACACATCGTATTAGTACAGTCGGGGCGTTGACCTAAGGAACCCAAAATAAGGAACGAGGCCCCTTTTTCCATAAGTTAACCTTCGATTTCCGGTCGAAAACATTAAGGAAAGCTTGAGGCAAGCTGTGAAACACTTAAGGAACGCGGAGCCCCTCCCCAACGAACAGGGTTCCTTCTGCAGGGCCCCGGCTGTATGTTCGGGCGACGCCGAAACGACGACGGCGGCGGCGGCGTCAACGGCGACGGTGACGGCGGCGAAGGCGGCGGCAGGGGCGCGTGGGGTCCTCGGCGTTAAACTCCGCCAGCTCCTTCTGGCGGATGGCCGTGGCCTTGTCGAGGGCCTCCTGTGCACACGCGAGCTTGAAGGACGTGCACTGCACCCACATGTTCTACAACTCCAAAAACAGAACTAGCGCCAAGAAGCTCCGCAAAGCCTCAGGTTATGTCGGGCGTGTCCCCCTTATAAAAGGATTTTCGACGACAAATATAAAAAATACCCTCCAAAAGCCCCACAAAGGCAACAAACATAATCCAAAAATAGCCTCCAGACTATTTTTGGACTATGTTTGGATTATTCTTGGGGTATTTTTCATTTTTCTCGTCGCAAATCCCTCTGTAGGGGGACAGGCCCGACCTAAGTCTACAATTCCCACACAGAACCAGCGCCAAGAAGCTCCGCACAGCCTCAGGGTGACAATAGGAGGGTCCATCGAGCATTGGCCTGGGGGCGCAGGGCTCCCCGGACGAGTGGCGAGTGCCGCAAGCCTTAAGTCGGGCGTGTCCCCCGACAGGGGGATTTTCGGCGAAAATGTTTAAAAAAGACCCCCAAAATACCCCAAAAAGGTTACTCAACAAATAGTCCCCATACTATTTTGGGACTATGTTTTGACTTTTTGTCGGGTCTATTTATTTTTCGTCGAAAATCTCCATGTAGGGGACAGGCCCGACTTAACGCAAGCCTCATGCACACCGCTGCACAGGTCCTGAGCAAGATTTTGCACTCGAAGCGCGATGAGGCAAATCGGATAAAAGTACACAAGGGTGCACACGGCAACTTCATTCCTCCTCCCTGCTCCCTGTCATCCGTCTGCCTCGACCTCCTCCTTCTCCTCTCCTCCACGAGGCCCTGCCCCCTCCCTGTGCATCCGGGGGCCTCCTGTGCCACACAAGCTTGAACAGTGTGCACTGCAATTTCATGCCATCGCACATGTAGGACATATACTGCCGTACTTGAATCATGCTTCCTCATCCCTGCTGGCTGTCTCACTCACTTCTTTTCTGTTGTCGGCGCCAGGGGTCAAGGCGAGGGGGACAGAAGACGAGATCAAATATCAAAAACAAGGGATCGACGAGAAGGGATCCGTGATCAGGGAGAGGGGATACCATAGAAGAAAAACGCACAATACACATACACGTTTGGCGCTCCGCGCGGATTTCTTGGATCTGAGCTGAACCCCCTCCCTGGCGCGCGGAGCGCGCCAGTGGCGGCGCCGGAGGCGCCGCCGAGGGGGCCCAGCGCGGATCCAAGAAATCCGCGCGGAGCTCCAAAAGTTATACATATAATGTAAAATAACTGCAACAGTTTATATGTTGATGGCGTTCTTCTGCTTCGATCTGAGTGCACAGCGCCGCGCGTCTCCTCCTCCGCCCCCTCCCCTCGCCGCCCGCACACGCCGCCTCCGCCGACGCGGGCCCAGCGGGTCTGAGGCCGCGGAGCCCCCCTGCCGCCCATAGCTCGCCGCCTCCATCGCATGCCTCGCGCCCCCTCCACAGAGAGCTCCGCCTGCGGACCCACGTGGCGCGACCTCCTGCCGCTTCCCAATTCGGTGGCAGCTCGTGGGAGCCTGCCATACCGTCTTGTCGGCTCCTGCGAATCGACGCTCGTCGACGCCGAATCGACGCTCGCCGACGCCAAATCGACGCTAAATCGACGCTACATCGACGCTGAATCGGCGCTATCTCATCGACTCCCAGGCGCTAATGGACGCTCATCGACGCCAAAGATGGCCTCGCGAGGATGCACCAGGCTCCCCTCGGGCCGGGCGAAAGGGGGGGATAGCAAAGGGCAGGGTAGAGAATCGGCTCACGTAGCTGATTTTTCCAGCGCCTCCCGGCGCCGGGAGGCGCCCATGTATCGAGGAATGGGCCCGGCGGCAGGGCCGAAACCAGCTGCATGCAGCAAATTTCGTACCCCCCCGCCTTCCCAATCCCCCCCTTTCGTCCGGCCCGATCCCATGATCTGCCACCGAACCATTCCGACGATGTCGGCACCTTCCTCGTCCGAGCCGCACCCCGGGAGAGAACCCCACCTCCGGCCTCGGCTCTCCGCCCACGCGTCGGCCACACCCCCGCCGCACGCGCCCTGCCCCCCACGAGGGCCCCCCACCAAGCTGCCGTCGGCCCGTGTCACAAGGAGGCGCGAGGAGGATGCAAGGGCCTTGGAAGGCCACGTCGAAGCTTTTCGAGCGGGGCGCGGCCAACGAGAGTGGACAAGGATGGGCCGAGGAGGCAAGGATGCAAGGATGCAAGGGTACCCTTGGGAAGGTTGCCCGTCCTGACTATGCGGTTTGCCCGTATGGCCTCAGAACAAAGCTCGTGCTCCACCTCACGGCCCCAGCGGGTGAGATCGCAGGCCCCGGTGGTGCTCGCTTTTTTGTTCTTATTCGGCGTTTCGACATTGGGCGGAACGGGGGGGGAAGGGGGTGCCTGGCTTGAGACCTCTGCCGAGTGCGACTGTCTGCAAGAGTGCTGCCTCTGGGGCAGACTCCACCCGCTCCAAGCAGGCGCCAACAAACAGCCAACACCTGCTCCATTGGGGGGGGGGGCGGGGGCGACCGGTTGTTACTGTGGCCCGTTGGGTGTTAGTGTGGCCCGTTGGGTGTTCGTGTGGTCCGTCGCGCGGCGGGATGGGAGTTACTGTGGCCCGCGCAGGCCGCTCAATGAAAAGTAATATGTAAAGGTATCTCATGTTAGATCTGGAGAGATTCGCAACCCCTAAGGGAATGCACTCCCGCGCAGGCAAAAGTGGCCACAGTAACTCCCACCTGGAACCAACGTGGTAGTAGTGCTGTGTTAGTGGTGTGGTGGTCGCTGTGCTGTGTTAGTGGTGTGGTGTTGGTAATGTTGCGTTAGTGGTGTGGTGTTGGTAGTGGCTGGTTGTGCTGTATGCTGTGTTAGAAGTGTGGTGTTGGTAGTGGTGTGCTGTGTTAGTGGTGTGGTGTTGGTAGTGTTGTGTTAGTGTGGTGTTGGTAGTGTTGTTGAGTTGTTAGTGGGTAGTAGTGTTGTGGTAGTGGCAGTGGTGCTGTGGTAGTAGTGTTGTGGTAGCGGTGTTGTGGTGTTGTGGTTGTGGTATTGTGGTAGCGGTGTAGTGGTGTTGTGGTAGCGGTGTTGTGGTGTTATGGTACTGGCATTGTGGTAGTAGTACTGCAGCGTGGTAGTACAATGGTGCTGTAGTGTTGGTATTAGGTAATATCGTTTATAAGGAGTACTAGTCCTACGGAGTACTAGCCGCAGGGAGTGCTAGCCCCAGGGAGTACCAGTCCCAGGAATTACTACCCCTAGGGCGTACTCGTCCAAGGGAGTACTCGTCCTAGGGAGTACTCGCACTACGGAGTACCAGCCCTAGGGAATACTAGTCCTAGGGAGTGCTAGTCCGATGGAGTGCCAGGTCGTACTGGCGCTAGGGAGTGCTAGCCCTAGGAAGTACTGGCGCTAGGGAGTGCTAGCCCTAGGGTGCTAGGGACGACGAGAAGAAGAAGAAGAAGTAGTAGTAGTAGTAGTAGTAGTAGTAGTAGTAGTAGTAGTCGTCGTAGTAGTAGTTGTGGTGGTGGTGGTGGTGGTGATGGTAGTAGCAGTAGTAGTAGTAGTAATAGTAGTAGTAGTAGTAGTAGTAGTAGTAGTAGTAGTAGTAGTAGTAGTAGTAGTAGTAGTAGTAGTAGTAGTAGTAGTAGTAGTAGTAGTAGTAGTAGTAGTAGTAGTAGTAGTAGTAGTAGTAGTAGTAGTAGTAGTAGTAGTAGTAGTAGTAGTAGTAGTAGTAGTAGTAGTAGTAGTAGTAGTAGTAGTAGTAGTAGTAGTAGTAGTAGTAGTAGTAGTAGTAGTAGTAGTAGTAGTAGTAGTAGTACGTAGTCGTAGTAGTAGTAGTAGTAGTCGTAGTAGTAGTAGTAGTAGTAGTAGTAGTAGTAGTAGTAGTAGTAGTAGTAGTAGTAGTAGTAGTAGTAGTAGTAGTAGTAGTAAGTAGTAGTAGTAGTAGTAGTAGTAGTAGTAGTAGTAGTAGTAGTAGTAGTAGTAGTAGTAGTAGTAGTAGTAGTAGTAGTAGTAGTAGTAGTAGTAGTAAGGTAATAGTCATAGTAGTAGTAGTAGTAGTAGTAGTAGTAGTAGTAGTAGTAGTAGTAGTAGTAGTAGTAGTAGTAGTAGTAGTAGTAGTAGTAGTAGTAGTAGTAGTAATAGTAATCGTAGTCGCAGTCGTAGTAGTCGTAGTATTCCGGGAAGCCGAAGAGGCTCTTCGGAGAGCCCAAAAAGCGCTTCGGATGCCCCAAGAAGCTCTTCGGAGGCCCCTCGAGGCTCTTCGGAGAGCCCAAGCGGCTCTTAGGCGGCTGGAAGAAGGTCTTCGGCGGCTCCAAGAGGCTCTTCGGAGAGCACCAGAGGCTCTTCCGAGAGTCTCTTCGGTGAAGGGGGGGGGGGGCGGAGCCTCTTTTGCCCCCCCCCCCCCCTTCACCGCACTCGATAATTAATACACTCCGGAGGACCCCTGGCCATACTAACGCCCACCGGGCCGCAGTAACAACCAACGGGCCGCAGTAACACCTTATCTCGGGGGCGGGGGAGGGGGGGCCCGCGCCGATCGGCAAAACAACGAATACTCCAGATTTCGCCATAAAAGGAGGGGGGTCTCATTTCGTGGGGGGGTCTCTTCCAGGCTATCTTGGAGGGCCGGGGGGTCTGGGGACGATGTTCTGGAGGGTTCTCCCACGGGGGAGGTCTGAAATGGCTTGTCTTGGAGGGTCCAGACCCCCTCCCTTTTATTACGAACTCTGGTGTACCAAACACGATCACGTGGGTGTGTCCGCATGCAGCCCACCCACCCTGCTCGGCACGCCCCTCAGGGAGCAATCCCGTGCCCCTCTCGCAGAGCTCAGCCCGCAGGGTTCGTGGGTGCATGCGCCTGCGTGCCGCCCGCCGCCCTGTTCGGCACACCCCCTCACAGGGCTCCCCCTCTAAGATTGTGGATGCCATGACAATGGACACTCGAACAATCCTATCATTGAATCAAAGATGTGTCAACAATGTGTAAAACATGTTTAAAAAACGTTTCTCAAACGTGTCGTTTCCAATAGTTACAACATGCTTGAAACATGCTCTAGACATCTGCAAATGATTTAGCAGTACGCTTCCTCTCCATTATCGGGCGTTGGTAGGACTGGGTTTCGTGGAACCTGGTTTAATGATCTGTACTGGGGGCGCCCCCCTGTCCCATTTCCACTAACCGGAACTGCCGTCACCCGAAAAAACACCTGTTACGGCAAACCTGGTTTAGTGATTCTGGCCAATTCGAAGGCCCCAGGGCCCTACCACTAACCGGGTCTCCTTACCCGGGGTCCTGGCCATGCCCGACATGGATCGACCTCCGACATGCTTGAAACCGTGTTTGAAACATGTTCTAGACATCTGGAGATGACTTGGCAGCACGCCTCCTCTCCATTATATCGACCCCCAAAACTCTAGGGTTGTGTCGGGCCTGTCCCCCTACAGGGAAATGTTCGAAGATACATCAAAAATGCAAAAAAAAAAAAAGGTCAAACAATAATATAAAAATGGTCCCCAGACTATGTTTGGACTATCCTGTTTAAAAACATGTTTGGGTACTTTTCCCGTCGAGAATCCCCCTGTAGGGGGACACGCCCGACTTAACTCCAGGGCCCAGGGCCTCAAAATGGGCGCACCCCGTGGCCCATGTGGCCGCACGTGGGCGCGCCGCGCCGGCGCCTCGTGCGCTCCGGTGCCAGGCTTATGTCGGGCGTGCCCCCCTACAGGGGGAGCTTTCGACGAAAAATAAAAGATAGCCCGAAAATGCCCCAAGAAGGTAAATAAACAAAAACGCAAAAAATAATCCCCAGATTATTGTTTGATTATTTTTGGGCCATGTTTGAAAGTATCTTGTATTTTTCGTCGAAAATCCCCCTGTTGGGGGACAGGCCAGACTTAGTGCCACCCCCCCCCGCCCCACCCGGCACAACCCCCCTCACGCGGCTCGTGCCCTCCTCGTCCGAGCGACGAGGAGGACAAATAAATACACGCAAATAAAAGGATTCCCCATAGTTTCCCATCTGCTCTGGGTTGCTGTCTTCCCCCCCACCTCCCACATTTTCCAATTTTTTTCTGGGGGATCGACGATTCATTGTGCCTGTGCGATTTTTCCTCAAGAAGGAACGGGGCCCCACGCGGGACGGCATGGCGCTCCCGTGCGCGGTGGCTCACGCAGGGCCGCCGACGCGGCGCACGCTCTCTTGGGGCACGAAGCCGCCTGCGCGCGCGCCCCTGCGCGGGCAGCTTGCGCGCGAACGTCGACCACAGAGAGCATCAACTTCTAGCACAACACAACTGCACTATAGTCGGGGCCTTGACCCAAGGAGCCCAAAATAAGGAACGAGGCCCATTTTTTCCATAAGTTAAACTGCGATTTCCGATCGAAAACATAAGGAAAACCTGAGGCAAGCTGCGAAACACTTAAGGAACGCGGAGCCCCTCCCCAACGAAAAAGGTTCCTTCTTCAGGGCCCCGACAGTATGAGAAGACGGCCTCAACCGGACACGTTCTTAGAGCACTTCGTGCGCACAGCGAAGATGTGTCAGAGCAATCCGTGGTGGGCCGATAGGCAAGCCCGGACGCAGCGCCACTGCTTGACATTTGGCCCTGCCCCAACAGGCCGACCAGAAAAACCGTCAAGCCCTTGGGGGCCCCATCGCGCTTCGCCTCCTCCAACCCTCGAGCTCCTGCTCCTCATCCGTGTTGCCTGCTCCTCCGCCTCCTCCTCCTCCTGCCCGCCTCCACCCTTGCCTCCCGAAATGAGGGCAGGACCGGATGCATCGGAGGCAGAGGCCGACCAAAACCATGAACGATCTGGACCGAGCTGTCTGCATCATGGTGCTGTCAGACGGCTCCATTCTCCAGTGAGGAGAGCGACGAGGACCAGGTAGAGCAACAGAGCGGGGGGTGGACGAGGGGGAGTGAGGGGAACGGAAGAGGGAATAGGAGCAGGAGGAAACCCGCAGCGAGTGGACAGCGCCTACCCATGCACCACCACCTGGAGCCGCTCGCTGCACTCATGTCGTGCGTTGACGCTGCGTCGAGCGTTCGTCGACTCGAGGTGAGCCTGGGCCGAGCAAGGGTCAAACCAGAATCGAACCAGAGCCGTGCCAAAGCCGAAATGAAAAACCGAGCCAGAGTCGAACAGATCCGTCAGGTGGCCCCCAAAGAGGTCCACGACAACGACCGCCCAACCCGTCGGCCCCAGCGCTGGGCCGCCCTCCGACCCCGCTCCAGCAGACCCCCCCCCCCGACCCCCTTCCTGGTTTTTGGCGACCTCCTTCTCGAGGTTCTTGATCTCCTCCCCGATCCGCCGCGGGTGCCCCGGCCCGCACGACGAGGGAGTCGCACGGGGTTAAGCGTAGGGGAGGGAAGGGACGAGGGAGGCAGGACAGCGCCGCTGCATCAGAGGGGCACGGCGGAAGCGGAGAGGTGAGGATGGGATGACCGTGCGGAGGCTGCGGGAGCGGGGAAGGGGCGGGCGGGGAGCGGCGGGGGGAAGGAGAGGGACGGGAGGGAGGGCCAGATGGCCAGGGCACGCCGAATGCATGGGACAAAACTCAAGGAAGAAGAAGAAGAAGAAGAAGAAGAAGACTCGGCCTTGCGTGCGGTCTCAGTCTGACCTGCCACTCTCGCCAAGCCGTCGGCCTGGCTCTGGACATTACCTCTCGCAGTCGTCTCGTGCGTTCACGATCCGAGGTGGGGTAGCACGCACCGTGCAGCCTCTCATACGTGTGTATGAAGACCGTCGCAATTTTTATATCAGTCCCTGGGCAGGGGGTGATGCCCCTCGGGCCTCACAGGAGGCCGTGGCCGTCTGGTGCTGCTTGCACCTGGCTGGCCTCGGAGGCACTCCACCTGCCCTGAGCGGTCCCCTCGGCCCCCGAAACAAAGCTGGAAACCACGACGCAAACGCCTTCTCAATCCCATTGGGGGGCCCAGGGTCCCGCAAGCTCAGAAAAAAGGGTGAGAACACAAGGAGGACCAGGAGGGACGGCGAAGAGAGAGGAAGGGGAAGGGCGGCAGCGCACTGAGGCGCGGCCTAGTACACGCACGGGTGGGCGCCTGCGCCCATCCACGAGTCGACCCCCTCGGCGATGATGGGTAGCTGGGAGAGTGGTTGGAGTAAGTGGAGCTACGCGCGGCGCGCATGTCCCCACCGCCTTCACAGAAGCCGAGGCCAAAGCCTTCTAGGCCACTGGAGATAGTCGTCACAAACCCCATCCGTGTAACAACAAGAATAATCACTCCACTGAGCCCAAAGGAAGAACAGAGACTCACGCCGATGAGGTCGGACCTGTCGCACTTGGGAAGCTCGATCTAAAAGAATGGTAGCGTCGACGACTCTGAGCGTGTTCTCCGAGAACGTCCGATACGTATGGAAGTGTGTGTGGTCCTGCATCAGGATAGAAGCACGCGGTGACGTCTGGCGAGGGGTTACTGAGCCAAGACCCTGTCGCAGGAGGAGGAGCACCCCGAACTGCGCCACCTCGAGAAGCACTTGCGCCTTTCGTGCCGCCCTCCCCGGCGCGACCCGCCGGCGTGGTCGCTGCTGTGCGCCTGCCCCGCTCCCCGCGGCCTCGGCCGGGTCCGTCAGGCGCGAGCCGAAGATGCCCCCCTTCCTGTCTCCTCCACCCCCCCTCCTCCTCCTTCTCCTCGTCCTCGCACTCGCCAGCGACCTCGACGACCTTGAGCGTGTTGACCAGCCTCGAACCTATCCCTGTCCCTGAGACGGGCGAGCAAACAGCGAGGACAATCTTGGGGATGCGCTCGCAGAAACTGGGGGAATCCTTAAAGGTCGGCACCGAGGTGAGGTGACTCCAAACACGGGGATCGGGATATGTTTCGAACTGGAAATATCCGGTCGGGCGAAAGGGGGGGGATAGCAAAGGGGGGGGGTTGAGAATCAGCTCACGTAGCTGATTCTCCCGGCGCCTCCCGGCGCCGGAGGCGGCCATGTATCGAGGAATGGGCCCCTCGGTGAGGCCGAAACCAGCCGCATGCAGCAGATTTCGTCACCCCCTCTTCCCAATCCCCCCCGTCCGTCCGGCCCGATGATGTGTGTGCTCGTCCACGGGACGGCCGACAGGCTGCAGCGACACGTGTCGGACTCCTACGACCGCGGCGCCCCCGCACAAGTTTGGACGCCCGAGATGGGTACGGAAAGAATGGGCACAATGCCCAACAACAAGTGTTGTCCCAAACCAACAGCGGCCGCTGTTGAACGGCAGCACCGTCTACAGACGTACCCATCCCGAGCGTGCCTATATACGCAACGACACCAAATGTGACCATAGACGCTTGTGGCTAGAAGCAGGTAGACTTGACCCACCGATCTAGCATCGAATTTGTGACAGCATGGGGAGCGGCCCCGGAAAACGACTCCAGAAAATGACCCCCGGGGGGGAAGGCATCCAGCCTTGGCGACGAGACGCCCAACTGCTGAAGAAGATTTCTGGAATGAAGCAAAAGGGGTCCTGGTGGACATGGGCAGGATCAATCGGCATCGAATCGGGAAATCCGGCCGGCTCAGATTCTGCGTCGGATCGGGCTGCATCGGCACGGACACGACATCTAGTCGGATCGGCGGATCGGCGGATGCACAGCATCGCCATCCATGCAAAGATCGGCCCGTATCGGACTGTCGGGATACTGGAACCGAATCGGACCAGGCCAGCCGAAACCGATATCGGATTGGACCGATGAGATCAAAATGGACTCTGCATAGGTCCTAGATCCGAAGGCTCTCTCCAGGACTGGACCCTGGGGCCGAGACCCCCGACATCATGAGTTGTTCATGGCATGGACCCCCAAAGGTCTCGACCCATTCCTGGGACCGGCTTTTCATCCTGAGTCGTTCATTGGTGTTCCCGGGATCTGGCGAGGGCCCTTGGAGTCAGAACGTTTGAAAAACCTCCCGTAGTGATTTTTTCACGACGCGAGGGGGCTTCAAAATTCACTCGAAATGGATCCCCAAACCCCTGCCAGGGGTCCGAACGCACAAATCTTTCGAGCCGCGTCCAGCCGTGGCGACGAGGAGGGGCCCCGAATGCAAAAAGAACTCGAACCTTGATCCTCGAGAAAGCGAACAGAAAACCTCTGTCGTGATGCAATGGTCCGAGATGGCCCGGTCCAATTCAGCCCGGGGTGAAGGCCCCCGCGGGGCCCGACCACGACGATGAGCCTCCGTCTAGTGGGATCTGGTTCAGTCGTGTATCGGGTGTTGCTAGAAGTGCCCCTGGCCCAAGGTGCCCCCAGGACTTCCAAGGAGGCCCCCCCGGCCTCCAGAGCACCCCTCGCAAGGCCCAGAGGGCCGCAGGAGTTCCAGAATTGCGCGACAAGCTGGGGGCGCCTCGGATTAGATCGGGCATGTCTCCCTACAGACAAATTCTGCTGCAGGGAAATGACAAATAATAAAAGCAGACTCTAGACATTTTCAAATATAGTCACAAAATCGTCCCCAGACTATGCTTTAAAACTATGTTTGAATATTCCTCCTGTAGAAGGACAACCCCCGAATGTATGCTGGGGGGCGCCTCCCCCGCCCCCCTCCATGGACCGAACCGCCGTCACCCCAAAACCCCAGGCTGTACGGCAGACCCGGCTTGGCGATATGCCGGCAGTGTGTTTTTGGTCTTGGAGCTCTATCACTGACGGGCCCCCCATTAACCTTAGGTCGGGCCCATTCCCCTACAGGGGGGATTTGGGACGAAAAATCAAAAGTACACGAAACATGCCCCCCCAAAGACCGAACAATTGTCAACAAATCGTCCCCAGACTATTTTTGCTTCTATTTTTGAGTATTCCCCCTGAAGAGGGACAGGCCCGACTGAACCTTATGTCGGGCGTGTCCCCCGACAGGGGGATTTTCGACGACACAAATAAATACCCCAGAAATGCACCAAAAAGCTCAAGAAAAGACCCCCAAAAAATATCCCCATACTATTTTTGTATGATTTGTTGATCACTTTTGGGGAGCATTTGGTATTTGTCGTCGAAGCTCCCCCTGTAGGGGGACAGGCCCGACGTAAACTTAACCTTAACCAGAGGGGGGATTTTCGACAGAACAAATAAAAAATACATCGAAAAGGTGAGAAAAGATCCAAAACATAGTCCCCAGGCTATTTTGGGACTATGTTTTGACTACTTGTGTAGGTATTTTGTATTTGTCGTCGAAACTCCCCCTGTAGGGGGACACGCCCGACGTAAACCTAGCGTTGTGTTGGTCCCATCGTGCTTAAAGGACCGCATCCCAGGAATAATTGCGAGCACCCGGAAACATGTCGAAGGAGTGTCGACAGAGTGTCGACACCATGTCGTGCGAGCGTCTCCTGGGGCCCCACATGTGAAAGCCCTGGAGCTTTCGGTATTTTTCGTCGAAGCTCCCCCTGTAGGGGGACAGGCCCGACGTGAACTCAACCTTAACACCAGAGGCCTGCGATGCGCTCGCGCGCTCGCGCGCATCGCGGCCCTCGCGCCGCCGCCCTGGAGAGAAGGCCGCCGCCCCTCCGACCGAGGGCCTCGCGGCGCGGCACGCCGCCCCCTCCCCGCCAAGGGCCAAAGGGGGCCCCAGGCGAGCCTTGATCGGGTCGGGCGAAAGGGGGGATAGCAAAGGTCGGCTATACGTAAGAGTGACCCTGGGCAAGAGTGACCTTTGGTGCGCGGCTTTTTGGGGGCCGCATGGGGACCAAGCCTGGGCGCGCAAGCCGCTGCTCCTGCTTCGTCTTTAGCCATCTGGGGACCCATCTGTGCCCGCACTAAAGGTCACTCCGGCGAAAGGTCACTCTTACGTCTAGTCGAAAAGGCGGGGTTGAGAATCAGCTCACGTAGCTGACTTTCCTGGCGCCTCCCGGCGCCAAAGGCGGCCACGTATCGAGGACTGGGCCCCTCGGTGGGCCTGTAACCAGCTGCATGCAGCAAATTTCGTACCCCCCCCTTTCCCAATCCCCCCCTTTCGTCCGGCCCGACTTAAGTCGGGCGTGTCCCCCTACAGGCGGCTTTTGGACGAAACGTGAGAAGTAGTCACACAAATCCCCCCCCAAATGGCCAAACCATAATCAGACGTTGTCCCCAGACTAGCTTTTGACCATTTCTGAATCTTCCTCCGGTCGACTGTCCCCCCCAGGTTGCGCTTCTTGACCGCCCGGTCGCACGGCGTCTGCGCCGGGCTGGGGCACGCTCGCCGCCCTCCGCGCCCCTCCGTGGAGAGGCGGGCGCTCAGCGCCGTGGCCTCCTCGATCTGCGAGGTGAGGTCCGCGATGCGGGCCTCGGCGTCGGCGATGGCCTCGCGGGGTGGCTTCGCGCGCCGGAACAGGGCACCACCGGCGTCTATAGGGGCGGCAGCGCAGCCAGGACCGACCGACTCCGACGGGCGGACTACGGCCCAGAATGAAGGGGCCCTGGGACACACAAATAAATACGCACAAGTAAACATATCCCCCCTATTTTCCTATATTTTTGGGTTTTTTGTCTTCCCCCCCACTTCCCATATTTTCTTTTATTTTCTGGGGAATCGACGATTGATTGTGTCTGTGTGTTTTTTCCTCTCCTGACAGAAAGCCGCCGGCGAAACGCAGGGCCGGGCTCCCGGGCGACCGCACGATCCGTCGGATCGCGGCCCAGACCCCAGGCCGCGAGGCTGTGGGAAAGGGTGCGCTCGCCGCGCACGAGAAAGGTGGCGGCGGCGCGGCAGCCGACCAGACCTGGCCGCGACCGAACGCGGCCGCCCGAGCCGAGTCGAAGATACCCGCAGGTCCTCGGCCGCTCCGCCTCCCCGACCCTGCTCGGCCCCTCGGGGCCCAGTCCGAGATTCGGCGCGAGCTCTTCCTGCAGACACCCAAACCCAAAGTCGCGAACATGCATTCCGTTGTCGTGTTCCCTCGTGCTGCCTTTCGGTTCGCCTGTGCTGCAAGATGAACCCAAAACGAAAACGGTGACGACATCGCCCAAACACCGTGAAACTCACGCCCTCACGAAAACTGGACCGTCTTAGCCCGTGCTGGGACCCTCACAGAGCGTCGGCAAGCCCGAGTCCCAGCAGACTCGAGTCATACGTTTCCCTGAACCCTGAGATCCGACACCGTGAACAAAAAATCACGACCAGAGCCCGGCCCCAATTCTTCGAGCATCATCAATATGTTATGGCCCAGGGCCAGAAACAAGGTGAGAACGCCCCGCGTGAACAACATCGCACCGCCAGGATCTCCGAGGGCGCCGAACTTCGCGCTTCGCGCTGCGCATCCCGAACATCTTCGCGCTTTCGCGCCGCCCCCTATGGGAGACGAGGAGGATGAGGTTATGCTGCCCCCGTCGCACTTAAGGACCACATCTCGAACATTACTTCTGGTGACCGAGGCTAAAATAAGTTGGAACATCATAATCGGCGGTGGACAACCCTCCCTTTAGTAAACCTCCCTTTAGTGAAAACGGCCTGGGACCGAAACCAACCGACCTAAACCCACAAAAATGACGGCCGCGACGCCTCTCGCGAGCCGAAAACGGCCACTTCGCTGATCGACGTGTCGGGGTAGGAGGTCTGCCCACCCCCGACACAAGGATGCGGAAGAATCGGAGCCGAGCCGCGAAGCACGCGCACCCCGGGCAGGCCGGTCCGTGAGCGAGAGCTCCGCCCCCTGCACGGTTCCCCCTGGGGCCGTAGGCGATCAGGAGGAGGGGGAGGAGGGGGAGGAGGGGGAGGAGGGGGAGGAGGGGTAGGAGGAGGAGGAGGAGGAGGAGGAGGAGGAGGAGGAGGAGGAGGAGGAGGAGGCGTCGCGCCCTCGAGAGGGCGCCCTCGGATCTCGGGGAGAGCCCCGGCCGCGCCCGGAGCCCTGGCGGGTGGGCCCCCGTCGCCCGCTTGCGACCGCGGCGGCGAGCCCGTGCCCGCCACGGCTCTCGCAGTCCCTCTGCACGGGCCAGCGCTCCCTCGCTCGCTCGCTCGGGCAGAGCGACCTCCCGCTGCTCCTCCTGCTCCTTCTCCTCCTCCTTCTCCTCCTCCTCCTCCTCCTCCTGCTCCTCCTGCTCCTCCTCCTCCTGCTCCTCCTCCTCCTCCTTCTCGTCTGCCTCCTGTCGTTCGTTCGGGCAGCACCCCTTCTGCACCTGCTCCTGTGGCTCGTTCGGGCAGCGACCTCCTCCCTCCTCCTCCTCCCTCCTCCTCCTCATCCTCATCCTCATCCTCATCCTCATCCTCATCCTCATCCTCCTCCTCCTCCTCCTCCTCCTCCTCCTCCTCCTCTCCTCTCCTCATCATCATCATCATCATCATCATCATCATCATCATCATCATCATCATCATCATCATCATCATCATCATCATCATCAGCATCATCATCATCATCATCATCATCATCATCATCATCATCAGCATCATCATCAGCAGCAGCAGCATCAGCATCAGCATCAGCATCATCATCAGCATCAGCATCAGCATCAGCATCATCATCCTTCTCCTTCTCGTCTGCCTCCTGTCGCTCGTTCGGCCCCTTCGGCAGCAGCCTCGTCGTCCCGCCGTGCTCGCCTGCGCGAGCGAGCGACCCTGGGCAGGAGTGGCCCTCGGTGCGCGGCTCCGACTCGGGGGCCGCGCGCGGGGGGCCAAGTCATAGCACGCGAGCCGATGCTGCGGGGACCCCCGTGGGCCCGCGACGGGTCACTCTCGCCCACCCCCGACGTCGTCGGGGGGGCCACATGCGAACCCTACCCCCTGCCCCCCACGATTTCTGAGGGGGAGGGTGGGGGTTCACTTCGCTCGGGAGCTCCCGAACGAAGTGACCCCCCACCCTCCCCCTCAGAAATCGTGGGGGGCAGGGGTAGGGGTAGGGTTCGCATGTGGCCCCCCCAGGTCATTTCCTTCACGCAGCGTCGACCCCCCGAGGCCTGGACCCCTTGCCTGGGATCGGCTCCTCGTCCAAGATCGTTCTCCTGGACGGCCCCGCGGCCCGGCACATGGGCCCCTCGGAGGCCGAAGATATAGCGAAGCGCCTCCCGTGGTGATGTCTCGTTGCCCCGACGCGAGCGGGTCGAGGGCCTCCCCTGCTCGCGCAGCCGACGAGGCTGCCCCGTCGCCGTGCCCACAGCAGACTGCCCCAAAAGCGGGGTGGGGGCCCAGGCGCGCCTCGCCGCCTCGCCCCCTCTCGCAGGGGGGGGGGGGTCCCCGGCGGAGTGGTGCAGCACCCCATCGAGGTGGCCCAGCGGCACTCGCGTGCCGAAGGCAGCGAGCATCTCAGCGGCAGCGGCAGGAAGACGGATGCAAGTGCGTACAGCAGGAGCTTGATCACAAGAAACCCTCCGCGAAACCAACCCAGCCCTGAGACCCCAGGACGTCCGCAAATTCTCTGGTGTGGAAAAACGTCACGCTTCCCAGAGCAAAACCATCGAACCCAAGAAACCCAGGGCACCCTGGAGGCAAGCAGGATGTTTCTTGGCACAGGTCGCCGCTGTATCCAGGAGGGGAAGAACACACAGGCACAATGAATCGTCGACCCCCGCGAAAATATAGGAAAAAATGGGACATGCGGGGAAGACGAAAACCAAGAAAATATGATACATATGTATATATATATATATATATATATATATATATATATATATGTATGCATGCATGGGGAATCTTGTTATTTGTGTGTATTTATCTGTGTGTCCCTGGGCCCCTTGATGTGTGAAAGGAAGGGGCCCGCACCGGCCCTCGGGGCTCTCCCCAGACGCCACCGGCCGGAAGATCTCCCCCGGAGCTGCACGTTAGGTACGCTCGGACCGGCAGAAGAGGCAGGAGAACCAGCTGGACCGACGAGGATCCTCCTCGGGGACGAAAAAAAAGGGTGGAAGACACCCGACTCGGTGCTTGCATGTTGGGATCCTTGCTCGTCTTCCGGGGGAGGAGGAGGAGGAGGAGGAGGAGGAGGAGGAGGAGGAGGAGGAGGAGGAGGAGGAGGAGGAGGAGGAGGAGGAGGAGGAGGGGGGAGGAGGGGGAGGGGGGGAGGGCGAGGGGGAGGAGGAGGAGGACCTCGGGTTCGCCCTGGCGACCTCGTTTCCCCAGGGCCACCACCATTCTCCCCCTGGCGGCGGAGACGCTCTCCTTCCGGGCAGTGAGCGATCTCTCATCCGGCGTTTCGGCAATGGGCGAAGGGGCGGGGGAGGGGGGGAGGGGTCTGGCTTTATGTCGGGCGTGTCCCCGAACAGGGGGACTTTCGACGAAAAATAACATGCCCAAAAAATACGACAAAAAGATCAAACCACATTCAAAAAATAGTCCCCAGACTATTTTTGGCGTATTTTGAGGGTATTCTTCATTTTTCGTCGAAAGAATCCGTGTAGGGGGACAGGCCCGACTTACGCCTGGCTCCTGACCTCCACGGTTTGCAACAGCGCGTCCCAAGGGGGGAGACCTTTCCTGCTCGAAGCAGGCGCCACAGACAGCCAAAATCTACTCCATTGAGGGGGGGGGAAGGGGGGGTGCGAGGGCCCGCGCCGATCGGCAAAGCAAGGAACAAGAACACGATCATGCATTGCGTCGACAACCCACATGCCTGGCCGCCAGAGGCCGACCACATGCAAAAAGAAGCTGCGAATTAGGTCGGGCCTGTCCCCCTGCAGACGGCTTTTGGACGAAAAAACAAAAACAATACACCAAAAATACCCCCCAACGTGCTCAAAAATACTTACAAAAATCGTCCCCATATTTTTGTTCGCCTACTTTTGAATATTCTCCTGTAGAGGGGCAGGCGATTCAAAAGCGCGATTCAAAAGCAGGCCGTCGTGCTTATCGCGGGGACACGCCCGGACTCCTCCCCGGACGTCTCTCCTCCTTAGGGCGCCGCAGAGCAGACGCCATCGCGCGCCCAGCTGCGGACACGGGATACACAATCAACCCGTATCATGAGGATGCGCGGCAAGGATGCCAGGGCCTTGGAGGGCCAAATTCTTACTGGGCCCTGAAAACGACAAGGCCGTTTTTGTTACCGGTTCCGTTGTGCAAATTTCGACGCCGCTTTTTTACCGGTTCCGTCGCCGTTTTTTGACCGGTTCCGGCTCCGGTTCCGATCCTGGAGCCGTTTTTGTTGCCGTTTCCAGTCGCTGTTTTTTTGCCGTTTCCATGTTCAATGGACATTTTTGTGGAAACGGTGAACAAAAACGGCCCTGCCGTTTCCGGGGCCCACAAAGGGCCAGGGCCTTGGAGGGCCAAGTTCACGTTGTTCGAACGAGGTTGGCCAGTGGAAGTCTCCAAGGCTGGGCCGAAGGGGCAAGGATGCAGGGGTACCCTTGGGAAGGCTGCCCATCCTTGCTATGCGGGTTGACTGCCTGCCCCCCCACTCGTGAAGCCACCCTCCTGTCAGCGACGCACGCGCAGTGCGCTCTCTCGAAGCCCACGCGCCCCATCCGAGAAGCCCCTGGGCTCCAACCAAACAAAGGGGCCCCTCCTGACTGGAGAAGGTCTGCTTCTGCCGGCCTTCCGCCGGCGTAGGCTGCCCTGCGCCGTCTTTCGCCGAGAGAGGAGAGAACGACGAGGAGGTAGTGCAGACGATTGAGGGAGGAAGACCAGGAGGGAGAAGGAGGAAAGGGAAGAGAGGAGAGCAGCGCACGCAATGGCAAGGACCTTCTAAGACGAGGCCGCTGCTGGCATACACCATGTGGCCTCCCACACGCGAACATTTTCTGAGGTCCCCAAACCGCGAGGCGGCGGGCCGCGCAATCAATTTCCGTGGGGACCCCCGGCGGCATCACCGCGCGGTCCGTCGCGGCACGGTTCTGGGACCGCGGAGGTCCCCGTCGTCCGAGACGGCCCCTCAGATGTGACCCAGACATGCGACGTCCTGATTTTTTCGGGACGGCGCCCCCGGAAGTCCCGACCCTTTCCCCGGGGCCGGTTTTTCATCCTGCGTCGTTTGGTTGACGGTCCTGAGGCCCGGCGAAGGCCTCCAGAGCCCGAAAGCGGCGAAAAACCTCCGTCCTGAATTTTGCACGACGCGAGCATGTCTGGGGACGTGGCGCAGAAAATGCGGCATCGCCAAAAATCGTCACCGGAGCCCGAGACCCATGGGCCCGAACCTGGGCGAACCTGGGAAGCAGGGCGGCGAGGGCGCGCCCCGCGTGGCCGGCCCCCCGCCGCACGGCGCGCCGC